CTGGGCAACCTGGGCCAGGCTCTCCCCACCCTCACAGCCCAGAATTTCTCCCTCCCATCTCAGCTCCAGCTCCCTCTGCCAGCTGGAAACCCTTCCCCCTGCTCCCATCCCTCCCTGCCCTTGTCCCAAGCCCCTCCCCAGCTTTCCTGGAGCCCCTTCAGGCCCTGGAAGCTGCTCTCAGGTCTCCCTGGAGCCTCCTCTTCTCCTCCAGGGATGCCCACGTCAGTGTCTGCATGAAGTGTCTCAGCTCTGCCTAACCTGGCCCTTCCTCTCCAAGCCCTGACTTCTCCTGTCCCCGCAGCTCCCCAGGAGCAGGATGAGCAGCCAGAGGACCAGGAGCTGCTGCCCCCCCGGGACCCCTCGCCCCCTCCCCCCCTGCCTCCCTACAGCACCGGGCGGAAGCTCCGGCACGGCCGGCGCAGCCTGGAAGCTGCAGTTCCCACGTAGAGGATCCACTGGCCCTGGGCCATGGAACAGCCCAGCACGGGGCTCCCGGGACAGCCTGGGCTGCCCCCCCTGCTGCACCCCGGGACGGGACCTGAGCACCCCAGGGAGCCACCCTGGGCAAGAACTTCCTTGCAGGCTGTGAACAGCCCTGGTTCCCCACCCGGGGCTGCCCTGGGACAGTTCCCAGCTCCAGGGGAACAGCCCGGGCAGGGAGGAGGTGTGGGTAGGACAGGGTAGTGCAGCTTGTTAGCCTGTAAATAGTGAGTGTGGGGAGGGGAGGAGGGAGAGCAGGGAGGGGGTTTGGGCTCCAGCTGCTGCTCCTGGTTCCTGCGGGAGCCTCTGCCCTGGTGTGGAGGGGGAGGAGGGTCCCACCTGCCCCTTCCCAGGCCTCCTGCCCCTTCCCAGGCCTCTGCCCCTTCCCAGGCCTCCTGCCTGACACAAAAAAACAAAAAAAAAAGGAAAAAACAAGGAAAAAAAGCAAAAAAAAAGCAGCATCTTCCACCTCCTGTTCCTCTGGGGGGGCTGGGACTGGGGAGGGAAAAGCAACAGAACACACATGAAAAAGGAACAAAAGGAATTGCAGGCAAATGCCTCCCCTGCCAGCCCAGCTGCCCGGGCACTGAGCCTGCCCTGCTGCTCTTCCAGGAGGCAGGAATTCCTGCCTGGATCCTGAGCAGGGGGGGCAGCCCCTCCTGGGGCACTGGGGGCTGGGGGAGGGATCTGCTGGCAGCACCAGGGCTGGACTGGTGTCACTGGGGCAGGAGCCTGGCAGGGCTGGGAGGTGGGAGCAGCAGCTGGGGTAGTGGGGTAGGATTCAGGAAAAGGGGAAGGGGAGGAAAGTGGCATCAGTGGGGTAGGAGTAACAGGTCTTACAGGTAGGAGGGTACTAGTGGGGAGTCCCCAGGGACGTGCAGCGGGGCCTTACGGGGGTGCCCAGTTGTGCTGGAAGTAGAAATTCCTCCTTTCCCAGCTCTGGAGCAGGAGCTGCCAGGCAGGGAGCAGCTGGAGCAGGATGGAGCTCCCTGAGGCCCAGGGGAAACACCTGCCCCTGCAGGAGGGAGAAGAGGAAGATGAAGAAGGTGCAGGGCTGGGGTTCCTGGGTGTCAAGGCTGGGATTCTTGGCTTGCAGGGCTGGGATTCCTGGGTTGCAGGGCTGGGATTCCTGGGTGTCCAGGCTGGGGTTCCTGGCTTGCAGGGCTGGGATTCCCAGGTTCCCCAAGTGGAAGGGCTGTGAACAGCTCCTGCACATCTCCACAGCTGAGGAGAGCTGTGAGCCCAGCCCCTGCTGCCACAGCCCAAGGGAAACTCCCCTTTCCCTGGTTTTTGTTCCCAAAGCCTCTCTCAGGGAGCAGGGCCCCAGCCTGGCAGCAGGAGCTGCCCCCCCTGCCCCTTGGGGCTCCTGCTGCAGCCTCAGCCCGGCAGGGACTGGTCGGGACTGGGAGCCACGGGCAGTTGCTGGTTCCTTGGCTGGTGGCAGAGCTGGGTGCAGGTCCCTTCAGCTGGGAATCTCCCTTCATGCCAAAATCCCATGGATCATTTTACCCGAGTTGGGATGTTTCAGTTTTAGCAGAGCTTTGAGGGGGGGAACTGGGATCATCTCCAGCTGCAGCTGCTTCCACAGCAGCAAGTTCAGCTTTTCCTTTTTAAACCTAATTTTAGCCTTTGCTTTTTAACAACAGCAGTTTTGGAAACAATCCTGGGCTGGTTTTGGTGACTAACTTGTGATTCTTTCTTCCTCTCCCGTGGTGGTACCTGGTGCCAGGCTCTGGGTTCTCTCCTGTTCTGTCCTGAGAGACTCTGAGGGAAACTTAGCGCATCAAGACTGTAACTAGTGACATTTGTACAACCAAAGAAATCTATTTTGTGGTTCAAGGATAATAAAAGTTTACTTTACATTTTAGAGCCTTTGCTCCACGTGGGGTTTTTTTTCTCCCCTGTGTGAGGAGTTTCTGTACCAGCACTTCAGTTCTTATCAGTTGGGTTCTTATTCCTACCAGTTGGGTTCTTACTGACAGTGACAAACTGGGGGTTTTCCTGCTTTTTCTGCAGGGATTTGGTGCTCAGCTGAGCTGCTGCCCAGGGCAGGAATGGCAAGAGTCACTCATGGGAGTGTTGAAGGGCAGGTTGGATGGGGCTGGGAGCAGCCTGGGCTGCTGGGAGGTGTCCCTGCCCATGCAGGGGGGCACTGGGTGGGCTTTGAGGTCCCTCCATCACAAACCAGGCTGGGATTGTAGGACATTTGGGAGAAAAGTGGTATCAGTGCTCAGAGGAGGGAGAGAACCCTGACCAGGAAGTGCTCCAGCCTTACATGCTCTGAACTCCCTACCTTGGACCAAGCTTCCCTCTCAAGCAGAGGTTTCTCCTCCAGAGAAGTTGTGGGAAAAGGAAATGGGGACAAACAGGAGAGATGATTCATGTAGGAAATGGGGTTTTAGTCCCATTCAGCACCAGCTGCTCACAAAGCACGTCCTGCTGAGGGCAGAGGGAGGGGAAAAGCTCCTGAATCCCCTGGTCAAGATCCAGATCCAGGATCACCTGGCAAAAAAAACAACAACAAAGAAAATGTATAAACATGGGGGGGTGGAACTGCTGGTCTGTAGAGGACTTGGTGCCAACCCTGCCTGGCTGGTTCTCCCTTCTGATGGGTGGTGACAACTTCCTTTGCCAGGTACCTGAGGAGCCAAGAAGCAGAGGGGAGAGGCTGGGACTTGTTCTGCCCAGCAGGGAGGGGCTGGTGGGGGGTCCTGAGCTGGAGCCCTGGTTGTAGTGACCATGAAGTGGTGGAGCTCAAGATCCTGAGGGCAGCAGGGAGGGCTGTTGGGAGAGGGGCCAGAGGAGGCCCCGGAGCTGCTGGGAGGGCTGGAGCAGCTCTGGAGCCAGGCTGGGAGAGTTGGGGTGTTCAGCCTGGAGAAGAGAAGGCTCCAGGGAGACCTGAGAGCAGCTTCCAGGGCCTGAAGGGGCTCCAGGAAAGCTGGGGAGGGGCTTGGGACAAGGGCAGGGAGGGATGGGAGCAGGGGGAAGGGTTTCCAGCTGGCAGAGGGAGCTGGAGCTGAGATGGGAGGGAGAAATTCTGGGCTGTGAGGGTGGGGAGCCCCTGGCCCAGGTTGCCCAGGGAAGCTGTGGTGTGTTCACAGGGTAAATGCTGCAGAGAATGTTGGGTTGGATGGAACGGGAGGGACTCCCAGGGACCCGGAGCTGGATGAAGATGAGGGACAAGAAGATGAATTGGAGCCTTTTGGGGAAGGGCAGTGAACTCAAACCAGGCAGGGACCAGCAGCAGCAGCTGGAACAGACACGGGCAGGTCTGGGAGCACTGGGAGGTTCAAAACACTTGTTTTGTTCTGTTAGTTCCCAAAATTAATTGCTGTGAAGTTACAGAGCTGCCGATGGACCCGCCTGGGAAGGGGAAAACCCGCAGGGAAGCGCTGGGAGAAGGACGAGGGGGCAGAACGAAACCAGGCGGGGGGATAAAGGTTATTTTGCCTTGAAAAACGTCCCTGGAGCCTTGGCTGAGTGTGACCTCTGGTGCCAGAGGGATGAACTGCCCGGCACGGGGGGGGGATCCCGCTGCCAGGCTGGGAATGGAACCATCAGCTCCGGCTCCGGGTGCCGAGATGAACTGGGCAGAGGAGCAGCCGGGACAGACACAGCCCAGACACATGCGCTGGGAGCCCCTCCTGCTGGCGA